GAGAGAGAGAGAGAGAGAGAGAGAGAGAGAGAGAGAGAGAGAGAGAGAGAGAGAGAGAGACATACCTCAGCTAGCTATGTTGAACACAAAACTATGGCTACATGATGATGCTGGAAGAAGAACCTGTTATATATACCATAAAGAATTTCCTGCCGACACTGATGCTGTCATGCTTGGGACTTGGACTGTCCTTCTCTTGGTGAAGACAAATTTCCCACCGATTGCCTTGATGTCGACCTCCTCTTCTCTTCTGCTTCCACAAAAATTAAAGCAAACCCATCACGTACCAATCACTTAGACCCAGTTTCACTTCCCCTTGAAAACCCCAAACTCACTGCACAGCACGATTCCATATATAAATCCCTTTCTGCGCAGCTACTTAACAGTGCCTTGGTTCCGCAAATCCTGTGTGCACACTGCGACTTCGGAGAAGGAAACTTAATCAAATGATGTTCACAACAGCACTAGCACGAAGGCATTCATTCGCAGCACTAGCCAACATCACAAATCACTAAACAATGACAAATCATTAAACACAAGGCAATCAAATCAATATGGCTGATCACTTGCCAACTGATTTGATTCCCAAGGCAATCAAATCAATATGCGGTCACCATCAGCCTGTCCAAGTGGCCACAGCCAGGCAAAAAGTTGTGGCTGAGCATGTCACCTGGTGAAGTCTTTAACCCAGCACAACCTTCGTGAGGCACAAAAATGAGACTTGAGATGTGAAGGCCTTAGTGTTAGCATGAGTACACCCCTGGCCACACTTCGCTCTCGCACACGCACACATGTCTTGTTGGTTTTGTTGATTATACACGCACACGCATGCACCACACGCACACACACACATATGTCTTGTTGGTTTTGTTGATTATACACGGCCCAATTCTTTGCCCTGCTTTACAGCATGGGCTGTTTGGATGTTTACGAGTGACCACGAGTTCTCTTTGGGGGGAATATGTGTTTTGTGGGCCGGGGTGGAAGCCTCGAAGGCTTTCCCAGCTTTTTTGGACCCTTAGCAGGGGGGGGTCGGTGCATTCTTGCAGGAGGAGTTTTATGTCTTAGGTAAGTTCTCTTATCTTCTTCCGCCTTTTTGGCAGTGAGGCGAGTGTGTAGTTTGAGATGAATGTCGGGAATGCCAATGCTGTTATGTTTGATTGTTTTAGGTGAATGCGTTTTTGGTTTTGTGGGCCAATGCGGAAGGCTCTCCGAGTTTTTTTGGACCTTTGAGGTAAGTTTGAGTGTGTAGTTTGAGATGAATGTCGGGAACGCCAATGCTCTTATGTCGGGTCGGTGCCTTCTTGCTGGAGTAGTCTTCTGTCTTAGGTAAGTTGCCTTCGGCCCTCCATCCCCTTATGGTTTGGAATACATAGGTATACATATGTATTATGTATATGTGCAAGTGTGCCGCCAACGGGTGTGTGGGCGTTGGTGCTGAACCACACAAACATGACCAACCTTGCATCTTCTATTATATTGCCCATCTATACTTTTTCGTTATGGATGGCTTGTGATGATTTGTGAAGGGAATAAAAGAGAGAATACGGGGTCTTTTAAAACAACACACACGCACACACGCCTAATGGCCAGCCTTGCACTCTCTTTATTTATCACCTGTGGATTCCGTGCAAATTTGGTATTGATATCACATGATTCTATAAAAGATGGGACAAAACCAACCACCCAATCCCATTCCTCCTCCCCCATGCACACACACCACAGTGTTTGGAAGTACGCTCATGACCTGCTGCAATTGCACTAGGCGACGCACTGAAAGTCCAGTGACAGACACATTTGACAGAGAGAATAGGCCGGGAGAAACATGAGGGGCCTTGACAGGCAGCGACATCTGCTGCCCTCCATGGCCCACCAGATGGGCACCATCCCATGGTACATCTGAAGTCCAAGCACTCTATAAGCAGATGCAGAACTCTACAGACAGTCCAGCTGAACCCAGACTCGGGAACTTAGAAGCCATGCTACCAGCTGAGCGACTTGGTCTGGCTGTCTTCCCCAGTGGCCAGTCAGGCGACTGAGATCGGCCAGGTCAGACCAAGGTGCCTGACAGCCCCAGCAAAAAATGAACAGTAGTACCTCGCCCAGTGTTGGGAAATTAGGGAAAACTGCCAGTTTTCCCAAACTCCTGAAAGTTCCGAGGTCGGGCCCGACGACGGCCGCCATTGATAAATCTGATCGGCGCCGGTCATTTCGTTTCGGCCATCTGAAAAGGTCGGAGGCCCACCCGAGGCCCGCTATTTTCCCACGCGGCAAAGGTACTAGTGGTTATTGTTGTGTAGCATTCTAGGTTACCAGCTGGGCCGCCCGGGTTGCCTCAGATTGGCCCAGGTGGCCACGGCCGGGCGAGGTCGAGGCAAAGGCCGAGTCAAGGTTCCGGGCATTCCCAGCGCAAAAAAAAAAAAAAAAAAAAAAAAAGACCATAAAAAAAAATCTGAAGAAAAGAATTATGTCATGCAGAGTTGCAAACCAAACAACTTTTGGCTTAGGGTCACGCTGAAATTTGTTATGAAATCTGGGGAAAAAAAAAAAAACACAATTTAAAATTATATGATACCCCTATAAGTCCCTTTAAGCCCCTTCAAACCCTTTCAAACCCCAATAATACCCCATAGACACCCTTCGGTGAGACCACCAAATACAAAAATAAGGCCAGATTTGCGCACATCTCAGTGGGCACAAAATTGCCCCACTGGCCAGAAAAAAAACTAAAAATTAACCCCCCTCGGTTCTTGTGAACCATCCGTTGTCCTCGGTCGGGTTCCTGATAAGCGAACCTAACCTTGTACTGTTTCTGCGGACGACCTCTACCTCCAGTGTTGAACACATCCGCATCCACAATGCGGTCTATTTCATATGTGCCCTCCATATCCGACGGAATCATCGATCGACGTGATGGAAACTGCTGACGGGTGACACAAGGCAATAACTCGGACGCATGGAAGACTGGGTATGTGTGGAGGTGTGGTGGAATCTCTATCGTGTAGGAAGGTCCGTCCTCTCCACCTTTAACTTTTAGGACAGGCCATGGTCCCCTATACCCGGGTAACAGCTTTTGTGAGATGTTCTCTTCTGGGGCGAACTCCTTTGACTTTACCCAGACTAAATCACCTACCTGGAACTGTGATGGCTGACGATGTTTGTTAGCTTGTTCTATCATCCTGTGTTGAGCCTTTCTCAGATTGTCGGTCACCCTCTCAATTTCCTTTTCATGGTGCAACCCTCTCAATTTCCTTTTCATGGTGCAACGCAAACTCTCTAGTTCTGGATTGTAGTCTCTGTGCTTGGTCTGGATTCAGTCCTTCGAACGGCCTAAGTGGTCTAAAGGACTTGTGCGGGTCATTGGGAGTTCGGCAAGTAGCTAGATGGATACTGTTATTGTCAGCACTAGCACCTTTGGGAAGCATCTCATCCCAGTTGGTCTGATCTGGTCTAATATACATCCTGAGTATCTGCTGCAGGATCTTGTTCATCTGTTCAGTCTGACCGTTAGTATCTGGATGACCGCCAGATGACATCAACAACTTAAGAGCCATAGACTCTCATCAGTTCCTACCAGTTCTGACTGGTAAACCGTGTGTCTCTATCACCAACTATAGATAGCTGAATACCATGTTCACTTACCCAGGAATCAAAAAACTTTTCTATAACTAACTCCGTGCGTGCCTCTGAAGGCAAAGGAACAAAAAATGCGTACTTGTGAAAACGATCTACAATAACCATGACTTGGCTCTTGCCATGCCTACTCCTAACCCCGGCATCCATGAAATCAATGGACACAGACTCTCCGGGTCCCGAAGGGATAGGCAAGGGTCTGAGAAGACCTAATGGGGCTCATGTCGTAGTCTTGTTGCGTTGACACACCTTACAACTGCGTACATATTCTATGCAGTCGGCTTTCATGCCAGGCCACGTATAGGAACGTACGAGGTTGGCCAAAGTCTTTTGCCAGCCAAAGTGTCCCTCTGTGTCATGGCATTCCCCTAAGATCAAACTCCGGATCTCTTCACTGTTGGGGATGAACAGTATATCTACGACATCTGTCTTCTCAAACAATAACCCGTGCGTGTACTAGGGGCGCACGCGACTGATAACAACGAGCGCGGACGGCTGGCGCGCGCGAAGTAGAGAGGGCGGGCACAAGCAACGAGCGATGCACGGGTAATGGCAGCGCACAGCGGGGCACGTGGAAACCAAGCGTGCACGTTTGCGCGATCTAGCGCACAGAGCTATGGCCGTCGGCAACAGCAATGGCGATGGTGGTGACGACAAGCGATGGCGATCGGCGATGACAACGACGACGGCGGTCGCGATGACAACGACGATGGCGATGGCGACAGCGGCGGAACAACGGGGACCTGCTCCAATACCAATGAAAAAAGACTTGTACGTGGCCAGGAACACAGTTCAGATTCAATTTGTCCCGAATGGCTATGGCGCCCAGAGCCCACAAAGATTCCCACCCGATCAWCTGTGTCCACCAGCAACTTCTTCGCACACACACACACTCTCACTCGCTAACTAGAATCCCCCTGAATGTCCAACACGCATACACACACACACGACACACGACACACTGCTCCTATCACTAACCTACGTGGCAGCTATGGCCGCCGTCTCTCTCCTACTAACTCGCGGCTATGGCCGCTTCTTCCTCCTCTTAGCCCTCTTCGTCCTCAGGCACCTGCAGACCTTCGATACACAAGACGCTCCTACAGCGCTTCCGCACAGCTCACAGGCAGAATGAATGAATGACTTGACGCTGCCTCTTTATTTATACTTCGGATCATCGGTGGTCTGGCCTCTTGACCTGGGCCCAGGATGTACACAGCCCCATATGGTACTTGCTCACTAGACTGGGTGAGACCGGGACTGCGTGCCGCTGACTAGGCTAAGTAGGACTGGGACTGCCCTTTGCTGACTGTACTAGGACTGCCCCTCACTGACTTGGCTACGGACTGCCTCCTACGACCTACCAAGAGCCAGATAGATTAGTCTAGAAGGTCCTAGACTTGACCTTTCAGGACTATAGCAGCTATGACCTAAATTGACCCTACGACAGGTCAAGTCCACGCGACGGACTATGTACACCAGTCAGAACATACGACTTTTAAGGAATAGGTCGTGGGTTCAAACACACGGGGTCAAACGGGTACTGTACAATGGCAAGGGAAGGTCTAGAGATTGAGCCCTGGGATCTACATCTGTCACCGCTGTAGGTGAAAACCGTTTCACCCCACCATTTATACCCCCAAAACAGAACAACGATTACACAGGCACAATCTAAATCCCATCTATAACCCCCAAACCCGACCTAGATTAGCCATCACCAAATTGAAAAACATGGCTGATTTCTAACTTCTCACAGTAACCGGATATCCGACGAGAGTCAGGTTTTTGACCCGTTTTTCTGTTCTTTTTCTTTTGCCAGTTTGACCTGTCTTGTTTTCCCAATTGCTCATCTGTGCCTAATTGACTTCCCCATGATCCAGACTTCAAGACACAAAGACAGTTAAACCATCAGTACCTCTTTTCTCCAGCAGCACACTTTTTTACTTTTTTGGCTGGTGCCATCAGCCATTTTGCTCCGGTAACACTGTTCATCCGAAGAACCCAGATTGTCGCCATTTTTGATTCTCAAGTTCACCTGGGCGCCCGGGTGAGGTACTGGTGGTTTAAGATGCATTGCATGGCGGCCAGTCTGGCCTGTAAATCTGGGCAATAACCGACTTCAATGCGAGCTGCATTGGCACGACACTGCCGGGGGGTAGATCCAAGAAAATATCTGAATTGCATTCTGGAGTGGCACTACCATAGACGTGCGTGCAACATGAGACCTTGATGTGTAATGACTAGGTCGTTCCATCGCACCTTGACCGATATGTAACGACCAGATAGGAGTTCATTAAACAGATTTACAGTACTGTTTCTCTAGCGGTACTGGTTTATGAATCACCACATATACGCATCAAGCAAGCTCAGGATTCAACCCACCTCTCTGAAATGCAAGCTCTCTCTGTAGTTCTTCTTCCCACAGCTGTTTCTTCGAAGACCCTCTTGTCACACTGAAAGAAAAACGAGGTTACCACACATGTTAGTCTTGTTGCAGTTTGAAGAGTTGGATCACTGGGACATGAGGGTGGGAGGAGGATAGAAAAGTATAATGCTCGTATGTATTTAGCACGTGCCAATGCCATTATTAGACAAACTGTACTTCCGAGGCACTTTTCTCTGAACCTGGAAATGCCCTGCACGTCGCACGCCAAAAAAAAACAGAACGACGCCAGCCTCCTTTTAATTTGGACCATTTCTCGATTTATGCGTGTCATCCTTGTGCAGGGGCCATGCTAATCTTCTCTGTATCGTTCCAATTTTACCGGATGTCCCGAAGGATGACACCAGCCTCCTTTTGGCTGGCGCCACCAGCCATTTTGGTCCGGTCCCCGTATCCCCCCGGAAGTTGCGGCCGTAAACGAGCTGCACATTTGTTTTTCAAGCAGGGAAACGTACTGGTGGCTCAACTTACAAGAGCTTGACAGACAGTCGAACAGGGCAACAGAGCAATCACTTGTGAAATTACCTGCCAGGTGATCGCCTCATGATGAACAGGGCGACAGAGCAATCACTTGTGAAATTACCTGCCAGGTGATCACCTCATGATGGTCACTATCCTCAACAAACTACACAATGGCAAGCATGGCTTAGCGATGATGCAGTAAGGCCACCTGCATGCTGGATTGTTCTTATAAGGACAGAGAACTCACAAATTCATCCTGTGAAAATGAGAAAATAACAAAGAAAGGACATTAGCCTGAGGGATACTACTTTGTGCTCGATCCCCCAAGTGGCAGAGACTGGAAGGAGACATTGTTGTCAGGTCCTTCATTATGATGTCCAAAAAACTCGCTGACAGTTGAGACTGCAGCGAAGGAGATCTCATGCATGTTTGGGAAAGAAAGCCTCGGAAAAGACAGAAATCTTGGCAGAAATCTTGGCACGCCAGCCTGTCCAGGTTAGAAGCTCCGAGGATTATGCTCCCTTGTGTAGACGATAGATGTGCACTCCTCCAGATGAAAACCTCTTCACTCTGATGGCAACCAACCATTTCTTTTGCAAGTTGGCCGATCAAAATGTTGAAAATGTCAAAAGCTCTCCACCCTGTCCTCCGGGACATCAATTAAACTTGGCGCGATACAGAGAAGATTAGCATGGCCCCTGCACAAGGATGACACTCGTAAATCAAGAAATGTCCCAACCCCACTCCCCCGCCCTCCCCTGTGTAGACGACAGATGTGCACTCCTCCAGATGAAAACCTCTTCACTCTGATGGCAACCAACCATTTCTTTTGCAATTGGCCAAAATGGCGACCCCTCACTCAAAATGTTGAAAATGTCAAAAGCTCTCCCCCCTGTCCTCCGGGACATCAATTAAACTTGGAGCGATACAGAGAAGATTAGCATGACCCCTGCACAAGGATGGCACTCGTAAATCAAGAAATGTTCCAACCCCACTCCCCCGCCCTCCCCCCTTCTCCCCTTTTGCCTCCAGAGGAAGACAAAAACCTCCCTGCTTCCCGGCTAGTGTCACCCTGTCATACTATATAGGTCATTGGGACAGTGAGCTATCTCAAGCACACAGGGAAGACAGTGATATGATCTTGGGGTGAACACTGCCCTGTTTCCATTTTGATGCAAATGGTCACCCCATGTCTTCTCTTGCTTCCTTTCTACCCTGCTCCCAACAACCATCCCTCTCGCCCTCTGCATCAATCCTTTCCATGAGCATCAGGTGTGGAAGAAAAGAACTAAAAATGGAGAGGGCACACCCAAACATACATCACACGCAAAAAGCAGATGAAATGAGCAACAAGGGGGGTTGCACACCGAATAGAAAGGGGGGATCGGGAAGTGAATGAGAAGAAGGGTGCTACCTCTCCGGTGGGATCAAGGCCTCATGTTCAGGTACAGCTGCCACAGGCCCACGATCCAATGGCAACAACCCAGACCCATCACCACCACTTAGAGAGAGCTGTCGTGCGCCTCCGTGATTCCGAGATGCCACTGGATTAGGAGACACACTTTCCGCATTCACTCCCTGTTCTGCTGCACCTGTGTTTGTGGCGATCCTTCCACCCACAGATGCATCACTCTCTCTACTGCTCCTCACTGCAGCACCTGTGCTTACTGCTCCACCACCTGGGCTCATGACATTTGTTAGACGGCTTCCTGATGTTGATCTGGAGTGCCTTCTAGCTCCACCAGGTGACTGCGGTGAGGGATGAACAGGGGGGGGTGATGAAAGACGACGTGGCCCTGGGGTCTGCGGGTCTTCATTGGGTCCAAACCCATTTGAAGCCCCTGCTGTCTCGCAGATGCTATGGACACTGACAAATTCTTCTAAAAGTGGCGTCTGAAGACGCTTCAGCTCCATTGCCTGGCCATGTTTGGAATTACAGAGAACACAGACAAATGCCAATCAGTCATGTGCTGCTCGGATTAACCATTCGCATGTATAATAAACTGATGCACAACATTGACTGGACCGGGGCTTAAACGGACCCAAGCTAAGGGATTGAATCATTGAACCGACTGCAGACACAGCAAGGCAATAACAGACGAGTATAGAGTCTACTATAGACTGAAGGCTCAATAGCAGACAGCCCATGGACCTCAACAACATCGAGCAAAATGCGGAAATGAGGTCACTTCACAGAATAATCATGGGAAAGGCAGGGATAACACACTTCAACACTGCAGATGAGAATAACAGCCGTCTGGACGAAAGGACAGTTTTTTGTAGCCAAGAGATCTTCGAGAAACGCATCTCAAAGGACATTTTTTCAGCAGTTCAAGCTCACACCAGGACCAACTTCACTCTGCTTTCTTGTGTGCCTAAAATGAATACATATTACATACTACATAGATAACAGGATAGTTCCATAGGCTCAGACCATGCCAAGGAGAACAGGACCAAGCAAGAAAGTTTCACGACATGGGATGCACAGCACTCTTTCACGATGTGGGTAACTGAATCGACCACACCTTGATAACAACGAGATGGGGATTCACCAGTGACAGAATGACTAAGCGTAAGATTTCAGAAGTTGTGAGCATAATGACTTTTTGAGCCCTCCCGGCCCTTCTGGATCATCTGCATCCTTCTCTGCAGCAAGTCACCCAAGACTTCCTCACAGCGTTCACAAATGTGACCTTCCAGTGTCCTCATCCTCGTAACCCTCTTTCTTCTCCTTGCCTGAGTGGAATCATGACCGCTTTGCAATTCCAAGAGAAGACAGCCGCTGCCAATCACGCGTCTGTATAATCATAACCTTTTCATCTTCTCCTGGACACGAGCAAAGCACATTCAGCTGTTTCCATTGGCTCAAACATCTCTATTAGCAGGATTTTGCAGCAAATTGTTATGTCTCTGAGATTCATTCAGAGCTACTGGACCAGGCTACAGCTGCACAACAGAGTGTCTCACCTTCTCTTCCAGGAAGGTAAGTATCTTTTCTTCTGTAACTTCGTCATCATCATCCGGCACGCCACAGCTGGAAGACGTCACTGGGGCGGCAATCGCTTCTCGATTGGGAACAGCTACCCCATTGGCCACAGGGTTTGGCCCACCTACCCCGACTCTCTCAGCCCACCTACGTTGTTGTACTTCACCTTCTTCAGCCAAGTTGTGCCACTGAAACATTGCTCCATCCTCCCTCAGGGATGGCTCTTCGACGGGATTCATATCACTCTGTTCCATACAAGTACAATCAACGTATGCACGAGTCATGATCGCCGAGTGTGGCTTCACATACATGACATAAACAGTTATGAACAGAACGGAAAGATGTATGGAAGGACAGATCAATAGGCAACGATGCAGAAAGGCAGATAGACACACAGGCACACAGATAGGTCGATCTTGCAACCGAATCCTTACTTAGGCACACCAATAAATCCCCTCAGAATCTGTGGATGCCCTGTCACCCTTCTTGAAACACCCCCTGAGCCACTTGACATCATGCCACTGAAGATCCATTCTCTTGCACAGCTGCCATCCAACCACTAGCCATCCACAACTCTCGCTATTACACATCTCTCCAGTCCACAGCGCTGTTCCATACAAATACGTTCAATTTTTGCATCGAGTCATGACTGCTCAGTACCGCTCACCTACACGACTGAAACCGTTACAAACAGACATAAAGATGAATGGAAGAGCAGGTCGCTAGCCAACGATACTGACAGGCAGATAGACAGAATGGAACACAGAGGGGTATAAGGCCTGTTAGACTTCTCAAGAACCTCCCTTAGTCACTACACATCATGCCATTGAATGATCATTCTCTTGTACAGCTGCTATCCAATCCCCAACCCAACATAACTCTCCCTGTTACCCACCTCCCAGCCCATAGCCATAGCCATTGAGGTCACTCCAGCCCACTCTTGTGACCCTCCTCCATAAAATTATCACCTGCTAGATCCACCCTCTGAAACCCTTTACACAACCCTGCTGAGCCCGTCTTGACGGACCCTGACCTCTGTCGCATGCTTGGGCCTCCCACACCGGGTCAGGGGACCCGGACATTTCTTGGGGCAGTCCCTCTGAGCCTTTTCAAGACCTACGATCGGCTGAAAGGGGCTGGGCGATCATGAGCCCGAGGCGAGTGAGTTCCGGCGGGTGATTATTTTCTTGGTACCCAGTTCAGATTTATTCAGTTTGCCTTGTTTTCCATTCCTGCATATCCTGTTGGCGAGCAGTACAGAACTTGTGTTGGCCAGCTTGTTTATGAAGCTCAGCCAAAGTTTGGCCACACGACCTCTTGGACAAAGAACCAGATCCTTGGCCCACGCTCATCTCTTTCCTTCCTCCCTGGTGGTTTCCCACCCACCTAGCCACCTGTGCATCTATCCACCCTTACACCACCTCTCCCACCCATTTGTTTGTCCATTTTCCGCTGCCAAAGGATAGGATTGCCGATCCTGCCATTTCCGCCTACCCAGCAAGAGGCACGGTTCAAAGGGCGGCATGTACCAGACACATGTACAGCAACAAAATAAGTCACCGAAGAACAGTGGCTATTTGAGCAAGATAATGCATTACCGTTATCCAACGGCCTACTAGCCGTTGGATAGCTCTTTTTCCCTGTCAGTAACAGCTTGTGATGAAACACCGATGCAAAACCTCACTGGTACAATCAGATTCACACCAAGCCTTCCCAATAGCCATTCAATATTGCTTGAGTGACGAGACTTTTATGTTAGCAGAACATGTCAGACGTTCCCCAGATCCGTATATGTGTTGCGCATGTGAGTGATAATCACAATCCGATGTTCTGGGAGCTGTAGATCACATCTTACCAGTGGGTTAGCTTACTGGAGAAATGGGCCTCACAGATGATTGGAGAGTTGGAACATACCCGCAAGGAGAGGTTATAGTCCAAGTTCATTCCTGGAGGGAAGGCTGACGTCATGCTGTTGACGGAATCGAGACCAAGTCCCTGCTGGGGAAAATCGCCAGTTCGGCTGCTGGCTGATGGTTTGCTTCCTGCATGCACATCTCCTGCCCACCGGTTACCTCGACTTTGACCATGCAAGGAAACCTGCTTATTCGGATCCATGGAGTCCAGTGCAGGTCTCAATGAACCCAACTCGGATTGCGCAATCTGCATGCTCGGGGTATCAACCGCTGAAAGGTAGCCCCTTCACACAGACACAGATCCATCACAATGAAAACATTTCAGAACGCACAACTCAATTCCGCTTGACCTTTGGGTGCCTTAAACGGCATACAAATGTCGTGAGAGAAAGTAATGGAACTCTAGCAAACGCAACAAAATGCAAGCCAGAAAAAAAAAAACTCTGAAGTCATAGATGATTGGACGGAGACTGACAGAGCCCACAAGCTGACAAAAACTAGGGTACTTGACAGTCTCTCAGCTCCATCACCAGGGCGAGAGGAAATGACATATCGAAAAACAACAAAAACACATCAGCTAAAAACACTGAGGGACGTATGATCACCAACAGTGACGCACTCATGAACCAAGAGTGCGTGTGGAAACAGTTGTGGAAGGACATAAGGCATACGCAGACATCCTTGACTACCGCCAAGTTCATGCCTGGATACAGAGTGCATGCTTGCAGCTCGTTACTTAACGTATATAATGCAACACACTAGAAGGAAGTGATGGTAGAAGATGAGGTAATCAGTGATGATGCCAGTCCAAGATGTCAAGATCCCGATTTTCACAGATATTTACTAGAGCAATAACAGTTACCAGCTATTACCAATACATATCAACGCAAGTCACTGCTAGAAAGAAAGCACAAGAATGGTAGAGTTCCTCCTCTCCAAGATCAAAGTTCTCCTTCGGAAGAAGTTTTCTAGGGAAAGGAAGGTGGCCAGGACCAAAAGTTTTACGATGGTTAATAGTAACTTAATACCCACAGGGAATGGCATCATTATAGCAGGTGACTGGGTCAACGTGTTTAGTCCACAATTGTTTTAAGCTAGATAGTGAGGAGTTGGCCTAATGCGATTATTCTGCAGTTGAAGTGCAAATGCACAGTGGGAATTTAGGATTTTCTTGGCGCCGCGTATGAGAAAAAGTAGGGCACAACTGCAAAAGGCCATTAAGAATTCTGCATCTTGCCACGTGAAGCACATAGTTGGTTCCATGCAGAACTTCAAAGACAGGGGAGGAGGAGGGGGGGGGGGGTTGTGCAGGCGGAGCAAACTTGTAATATAGCAACCAACCACATTAAGGCGGGGACGACTTTCCTTTGCTGACTGCTGTTTCTTTTTTTTTCTTTTTTTTTCTCTTTTTTTGGTCTTTTTTTTGGGGGGCCGTGGGGGGAGGTGGGGAGAGAACTGAAACGTAACAAGACAGTTCACCCCATGCAGAACTTCAAAGAGACTTGGTGGGGAGAACTGTATTTCCTTTGCTGACTACTTTTTTTGTGGGGTTGGGGGGAAGCCGGAGGGGATTGCCGGAAATGGGGTCCAGCGTCCCTTACGTCAATAACCCACACAAAGCTTCCTTCCATTATGGCTGAAGGATCCTGAGACAGCGGCATTGATTTACTGACTGCTGATTATATTATGTGTTCATCTCTTGACCAATTGGTAACAGATAGAGGGAGCATGCAAACACACCTTGGGATAACATCGTTGTCAATAGAGTGTGTGATGCTGTTGGGTTGCCACTGCGCCTTAGAGCTGGCTGGCTGCCAATTGACCAAGACATAACCGAAGAGATTGCCGAAACACATTCCACAAAACGAAATAACCCAATGTCAGAAAACCGATCTGCTCGATGAACATTGCACAACACTCTCGCACACCCACTTGACCACTGGATTTCCGACTTTCCACTTAGTTCTCCTATCGAAGAGATTTGCGGAAACACCGCCCACAAAACCAAACTAGCCAATGTCACAAAACTGAGCTGCTGGATGAGCAATGCCTTCTCAAGCTCACTTGGCGATGGGATTTGTGACTTTTCACTCGTTTCACTTCCAGCTGTTTGTGAGTTGATCGCCACTGGCAAAGCATGAACCCGGGTAAGTCACTCCATAGTTCTTTTGATGGCAAAGAAGAAAAGGTGTATATTTCTTCCAATATTGGCATTGAGACACATACATCGTCACATCTACTTTGATTGGTGTTCTTATGTGGCTTCCACACTCCACAGATCAGTGCCTCCACGACTCCTGTTCGTTGTTAGTTGACTAAGCAGCTGTCCTCTTTCCGAGGACAGCATGTCGAGGAGCAAACAAGCTTGATAAACAAAACACTACGTAGACTGGGGCCTACAGGAATACAACGCCAGCACCCCCTCAGAGACAACCACAACGCTCACACTACGCCTTCATTGCATATAGGATCTGCTATTCACACGGGGGAAGGAAGGAAGGGAGGAAGGAAGGAAGGAAGGAAGGAAGGAAGGAAGGAAGGAAAGAAGGAAGGAAGGAAGGAAGGAAGGAAGGAAGGAAGGAAGGAAGGAAGGAAGGAAGGAAGGAAGGAAGGAAGGAAGGAAGGAAGGAAGGAAGGAANGAAGGAAGGAAGGAAGGAAGGAAGGAAGGAAGGAAGGAAGGAAGGAAGGAAGGAAGGAAGGAAGGAAGGAAGGAAGGAAGGAAGGAAGGAAGGAAAAATGAGAAGGGAAACATACCATGCCCTCTGAGCTCTCATAGATTGGTGGAGGTCGCATGTGCATAAGCAAACCATTCAAAGGAACCCGCTCTGACTGATAAACGTTCTCTGCCACAAAAGGATGCTGAAGTACATCAAACAGATCAGTCAAATGTCAGGACACAACTGAACCACCATACCACTGCGCATCCAACTTAGAATTCAGTTGTGGGACCAGGGTCACAACCAACGTTGATGCAGAGGCAGCTACATTGCTGTCCTGCTAACCCACCCAGCACAAACTGTAACATTAGCAACTGGACCCTGTCGACCCTGTACACCCTGTCAAGTGATACAGCAAAAGGGCAGGTCCCTGTTCCCTGAGCAGCATTCCCTCTCCCCACGAACTGTAGAAATTAAACCCAATCGAGCGATAGACAAGACCAGCTACCATATGCAGGTTTCCGTGAGTCTTACACCCTTCACCCCTCGACCCTCCCTTGCAACCTTAGGATATCACAAACCATAAGTTACTCAACTTCTATGGGCTGTTCTGTCAGAGACGCTAGCAGAAACGAAGGCATGTTGAATGCCAACCTCAGATGTCAACACAGAGGCATGCTGATGACCAATGCTTACTTCCTGACATCTGATTTGTAGCACAGCTGTAGCAATCGTATGTCAGTCAGTAAAGAGTCAAACAGTTTTTCCTTACCCCACCTTCAACAGCTCCCCTGCAGATGGCCTCTCTTTCGGATCCCTGAGCACAATTTAGTCACAAAGGGAAATACGCAAGGAAAGGCATTCATTACCACAGTCAGTTCGAAAACGTTGTACAGATTCTAAAAGCCAGCTTCATACCTGTGGCGCACCGATGCGGTGCGCAACTCAGCTTCCATGCAACTCACAATGACTAGGCTAAGTGCGGCATAGTTAGAGCAGATACCAACCCTAAGCAGTCATCCACAAACGTGCACAGGCACACACAGACACGCACACAGAGTAAGGTCATACAAACACTGAAACTGGGCTCAGTTATGTCAAATCACAACAGTGGACAGCCAATGGACGAACTCGACACCACCACAAAAAATGGGATGTTGAGGAGGAATAATGACCAAATTGAATCGTTCCCGAGGGAAGTAACCAATGCCGTCCACTGGGACCTCCCAGCCATAATGGGGAGGAGCGTTTGTGTGACTACAAGTTGTATTCGCTTATCTTGCTAATGGGAAAGGAACCGGACTGCTGCTCCCCAGCATAGAAGGAGGCTTGCTTTGTAAAAAAAAAAAAAAAAAAA